GTAAGAAGGCCATTAACTAAGTAAGTTTTCATGCATTACGACTAGAGGAAAACTTATGTAAGCAACGGCAGTAATGGCAACCGGACAATATGAAAGAGATCAAACTTACATTGACAATAAATCAAAAAATGGTAATCGAGGGCAATGTTTTAATGTCATTTTCGAAATAACGAGACAATTTCACACCAGAATGGCACATTCCCAATACTGGGGGCTTGTGGTGCTTATACTGCAAATTAACCAAAATTTTTATTCTGTCAGTAACATTTTACATTTTCATGTAGAGAACATTTCAATGATAATTGCTGAAAGTGCCAATTCAAGGAATGTTCTTAAGAGTCTCTGTATTAAGAAAAGAAGTTGAACTTACTCTGTTAGTGGGTGAATGAGTGATGTGTATAATCTAAACCATTCTTGACTTTGGATTGACGTAAAAGAAAGCTAACCTCTTCAGATTCACAGCACGCATGCTCTCTGTTTATACTTTTTACACCTGTCCAAAAGCCGAAGAGGTGTTGCCAACATATGCATGTCTAACGAAAAACAGTTTAATATCTGCTACCCAACTTAAGCGACTACATGTGATCAAAAATCAGGACAATTGAGAATCTCTTCAATGTCTGGATGTTTGCCTTCTCTCTTTTTTTTTTCACTTTTTTTTTGGGGGGGGGTTATATACGTTCGAATAAAAAAAAAAAAAAAGACAAAGGTCTTACGTTCGAATAAAAATAAAAACAGACAAAAAGGTCTTACGTTCGAATAAAAAAAAAAAAAAAAACATATGTCAAAGTTTGTCTTTCTGCTAAGCTAAACATTTAACTCTAGATTTCTCTATACTGGTTATTTCAAATATCTGACATTGTCTTGTGGTAGGGAGTTGCTATTATATTTTTAGGGTCTTTGCATACACTAAATGGCACATATAATTGTACCAATACTCTAAAGGATTGTTCGCAATAATTATTTGATTGAGGCTGATTAACCAAAAAATCACTTTGGCTTTTTTTATGCTGGGGCAATGAAAGTATTAGGTAAATTATTTTTTAAGTTTTTTGAATAAGCAAATGACTCGATTAACCGGTGATTCAATTAAGAATTTACTATATGAGTGTATATATTCCCAATTTAATGTTTCTCAGATTTTATCTTAACAATGTTAGTCAAGTTTATATTTTCAGTTTAATTTTAATTTTCAGTATATATTTTCTCTTTTGATATTTTTTATGCATTTTTTCAAAATTATATAAAAATTAATTTTAGTTTGTTTCTTTTTTAAATATTTTTAGCTTTTTTTATTTTCCTAATTTTTTAGCATTTTGTTTCTTTTTCTTAATTCTTTATTTTTTTTGTTTCTTTGATATCATAATATTTATACAGTGTAAAATTGATCTCTTGACTTTTTACAGAATTATCAGGAAATAGTTGTTTACAAATGTCAAGTTTGAAACTGCTCGTGTCATTGCTATCTGCATTTAAAAACAAACGTTTCGTAGTTTAGAAAATAGATTTCTCTTAAATAAAGAACAAGCAGATATATAAATTTTTATGTGTTTTGTTTTTATGAAAATATTTTAAGCAATTATTTGTTGAAATAATTTTATTTTCATTTTCTTACAAAAAAAATTGTTTTTGTCATTAAAGAAAAAACAGATGTATACATTCTTATAGTAGCACCACATTTTTAATTAAAGAACAAAAATATACATAAATTAGAAGTATAAAAAACTTTCAGATATCACTTAGATTTGGAAATAAAAAACTAAATACAGGTAACTCTGTAAAAGTCAGGGATCAATTTGACACAGTATTAATATTACGAATAGGACCCCCACTTTTAAATTGATAAAAAAAAGTGAATTTTTTTTTTTTATTCTGACAAATGCTACAGCTTGAAGGTCTAAAGAATGCTAGTCTACAAAAATTATTCCTGGGAAAATTTGTTCTTATTTTTGATGAGTGGACCACTCTATTTAAGTAGGTCATTTTTATTTGTTTATATATATATATATATATATATATATATATATATATATATATATATATAATTTATTATTAATATTTTAGGATATTAAAATGTTAAAAATCGCTACATAATGGGAATTATATTTCAACACTACAAATGTCTCTCCTTGGGCGATGATAAACTACTGTCAAGTGAAAGATTAATTTAATTTCAAAAGCAGAATACTTTAAAAAAAAAAAAAAAAATAGACTTGTGGGCTTTGCCTTGATTAACCACTTCCTTCGCTTTTACTTCTTAGGAAAGTTGAACGTCAGACTTCGATACATCTTATGAAATAATGTAACAACCTGTAGCTGCCCATAAGGAAATTGTCTAGGATTTATATGCAGACAACTTTGTGTCATGACCTATATTAAAAAAGTTTTTCCGGTGAATTTGAATTTAGCATAGGTCACATTTGATTGGTTAATTAAATTAATCTTTCACTCAGCAGTAGTTTAACATTGACCGAGGAGACACATTTTAGTGTTGAAATATAATTGCCATTGTGTAGTGATTTTTAACATGTTTTAATATTTTAAAATAAATAATTTTTAACTCTAGTCTTTATTGAGCCCTCTTTTAAATTAAATGTTATGTACAGTGGAATTATACTCTATTTGTTCTCATTTTACCTGGATATATATATATATATATATATATATATATATAAAGTTAGGTAATCTTTACCTTTGTGCCCTCAAAAAATGGTGTGTCAAAAGGATGGTTTTTCCCTTAACACTGATATTATTTTAACTACCTTCACTCCTCAACAATATCATTTTAATAATTGATGACTAGAGTTGAAATAAAATGTAAACATATGAAAAGGAATTTATACATTATTTTTCTTGAAAATTGACAACAAAAATAATGAACACTATTTATTTATTAGATTTTCTATTTGAATGATTGGCAAACATCAGCTAATTGCCAATTGTTTCAAACTTTATACAATGCTAAACAAGGATGTCTTTATAGTTGGCTTACATATTTTAATAATTTCCATTTATAAGTTTATGAATAAAAATTGTTCTCGTATTTATTTCTTTTTAAATTGGTAAATGATAAATATTACATTGCATAAGTTTTAATTGTATTAGTTTTTAGAATGATGTAAATATAAAATTATTCTTGTAAATAAACAATATATAAATGGTTTAATACTTTTGTTGTAAATTCTCAAGAAGAATATTATGTATCAATTCACTTTCATCATATTTTTAGGTTTTATTAAAATTTTAATCATTACTTTTTAAAACAAACAAAAAACAACTCCCTATCACAATACAATGTCAGTCATGGAGTGAAGATAGTTAAAATAATAGTGGAGTCAAGGGAAAAGAAACCATTCTTTTGAGAGACAGTTTATTGCAGGTACAAAGGTTAAAGATTGCCTTAACATAAGTTGCATTGCATAATCCTTCTCTCGTTGTTTGATTAAAAAATGGTTCTCATAGCAAAGTTACAGTTTAAAACATTTGATACATTTGGAAGGGAGAGTAATGAAAATATTTGGAGTGAGAAATCTGGTCATTTCCTTGATTCTGTTTTGTTTCATGATTTTATAAAATGTTTTTTTGAGTTAAAGATGAATAGCATTTTGTGTATCATTCAGGAAAGTCATTATCATTTCCAAAGTCATTTGTTCAGCCAAACTTTTTCTTTGTGTCACTTATTTTGCTACCACAGTATTTCCAGTGACTCCTACAGCAGACATGGGCAGCCATTTTTTTTTTTTTTTTTTTTTTTTTGAGCTAGTGGGCTGCATAATCTATGGCCTCATCTCAAGGCGGGTCACACTACTAAAAAGATTCAAGGTAATTCTTTATAATACCTCAGCTATTTTCACTACAGTAAAACATATTTATGCATTTGACCTTAGAAATCTTTTGAGATATTTTTTTTTTTTTTTTTGAGTAATTAAAAAATTGAAGACTTGGTATAATATTATCATTGATGGCAGTGTGATTAACGCATGTCACTGTGTGATTTATTTCTAATTTATTTATTTGAAAATAAAAAGGAAAAAGTAAAAAAACATTACGAAAAAAACATTACGAATGTTTCCTATTTCCAAAGTAAAAGGTGTTTACACATACAATGTTCCTTAGTGAAAATTGCCAATGAGTTAAAATGAAAGTTTACAAAATTCAAGAAACATTGCACTTAATCATTGCTTATGTATGAGAGAGTGTGTGAGTGAACAAGTGAAAACAAAACATAATAAAATTTTAAGAAAAGTTATTTTACTTATGAAATTAAGCATGCTATTCAAAAAGACCAAATGGGCTGCAGTTTGCCCGTGTCTGTTCTACAGCCTTCTTCAGCTACAAAATCTATAAGGAGTGTTGATTGGTCTCTTGTTACAGAATTCATAAAGAGACAGATGTCTCTTTTTCCTTTTGGATTTTACATGTAAAGAAGGTCATAGAGTACATCATTAGGAACACTGGTAGCAAAATAAGAAACACTCAAAGAAAAAGTTCCATCGCAATAAAGTGCTGTGGCTGGTGAAGAATTTTTCTAATAAAAGCACTAAACACTTTCTTTGCCTCTTGATTACTTCAGCCTTTTTTGGAATGAAAGGAAGAATTTTTCAGATTGCAAGACAAACTCTGACATTGTTTGAATTTAAGTGATTTTATTAAAGAATTTTTTTTTCACTCCTATTCCCAGAACCTCTAATCAAAATATTGATTTTTTTATATGGGATTTTCTTACATATTCATTTTCTATAATTGTTTCAAGTATCCAAGATTTTACATTGTTAATATTTGGTTTGCCAAAAGGGAAAATGTGGTATGCTTTGCTGCCCAGGGGTAACAAGTATTTTTTGGGGGGTGGGGTGGGAGAGTTTATATGGATTTTGTCTATTTTTGGCATTTAGTCTCCAAAAATAAAGTATGCTCTTATTTGTTCTCTTGCTCCCAATAATAGAGAGAGATTTTTTTTATTATTTTAAAGAATTTCTTCTTTTTTTGTGTGTCTTCTTTGTATGGATGATGGTTCTCTAGCTTATCACTTTCCCTTCTTCTCTCCATCCCCACTCTTCTCTTCTTCTCCCAACTTTTCTTTGCTTTCACCTCCTGTCCTACCCACTTTTCTCCTCCTCTGCCTTCTTCTCTTCTTCCCACTTTTCTCTTCCTCTGCCTTCTTCTCTTCTTCCCACTTTTCCCCTCCTCTGCCTTTGTCTCTCCTTCCAACTTTTCTCCTCCTCTGCTTTTGTCTCTCCTTCCAACTTTTCTCCTTCTCTGCCTTTGTCTCTCCTTCCAACTTTTCTCCTCCTCTGCCTTTGTCTCTCCTTCCAACTTTTCTCCTCCTCTGCCTTCGTCTCTCCTTCCCACTTTTCTCCTTCCCACTTTTCTCCTCCTCTGCCTTCGTCTCTCCTTCCCACTTTTCTCCTCCTCTGCCTTCGTCTCTCCTTCCCACTTTTCCCCTCCTCTGCCTTCGTCTCTCCTTCCCACTTTTCCCCTCCTCTGCCTTCGTCTCTCCTTCCCACTTTTCCCCCTCCTCTGCCTTCGTCTCTCCTTCCCACTTTTCCCCTCCTCTGCCTTCGTCTCTCCTTCCCACTTTTCCCCTCCTCTGCCTTCGTCTCTCCTTCCCACTTTTCTCCTCCTCTATGTCTTTACACTTTTATCCTCTTTTTCTCTCTTCTCCTTTTTATTTTTACCCTTTCACTCTCTAAGACTGAATGAAAACCCTTATTTCATATCTCTGGTCTCTGTCATATAAAAGTGATTTTTAACCCATGTCTTTTATCAAGCCAGGTTCTCATCTCTAAGGGGTTGACTTAAATATTCTGTTGTAATCAACCCCAGATGAGGCTTGACTATCTCAAATGAATGGTCACCTTCTTTGCACAATTTTTTTTCCATATTGGTGTGCAAAAAGAAAAATTAAAAATAAAACTTCTCCCCTTTATAAAGGCCAAAATACCTGTAACTTCAACCAGACTTCATCTTCCTCCCTACCCAGAAGGTGGGTAGGTAGGAAGATATGCGCACCTCCACAGAATGGACAACTATTTTCACTTGACTGTAATCCTTGCTATCTCTTTTGACCAATGAAAGCATTGTCCACACTCAGCTTGGCTGTGGAGGAGAAATAACAATTTTTGAAACTCTGTCATAGACAACTGCAGTTCAGATGTCGTATTTGAATAAACCGACAAAAAAAACAAATTTTCAATGTTAATAATTACAAAACTGATCCTCAACTTTAAATGTATCTTCCTTAGTGGGGTGTTTATGGATGCACACATTTTTACATTGAAATGCATAAATCTTTGTGTAATACATTAGATTTAGGCTAAAGCTTTTCATACCCAAGAAAATAGATCTCTCTTTTTGATCACACACACACACACTTATATATATATATATATATATATATATATATAGATAAATTAATTTTGTTACTGTGTAAACAGCAATCAGGATTCCAACATAGCTCTTATCAGACAAGAACTGTGGATCAAAGGTTTTTAGGGCTGAAACATCTTTACCACTAACCTAGGACCCCTCAGCAATACCTCATAATATCACCAAAGAGGTTTCTGCTCAGGAATGTGTTTGTCTCTCTCTCTCTTATATAAAATGTGTATGTGTGTTCTTGACCATAGACTTAAACTGAAAAACCTTATTTATATACATATATACATGTAGTAGTGTATAGATGATGAGATGAAGAGGAAAAGCTTATAAGCAACACGTTTCAACAATGTGTGTGTTAGGTTCAGCTTCTTCAGGTCGGAATGTAAGACAAAACTGTGTAAGGAAAATGTGTTGTGATTTTGAGGATGGGGGGGGGGGCAATAAATGTGATATACAAATGTATGTTTGGAAGAATATGATACATAAATTTCTATATATCAGAACAATGTTGGGTAATTGAATGACAAAATGGAAAAAAATTATATGAAACACATTTCAACTTTTAAAAGGCCTTCATCAAACTAATGGTCTTATTGATGGAATTATATATTTTCAAACAAATTTGGTTACATAAGACATGTCGATTTATTTTGGTTGTGATCCTTTCAAGTTCATGGATTAATTTCTTGGTAGCCTGAGAAGACTGATTAAGGAAAATACCAAAGTTTTCTTTCAAATAATTTTTATTTTCCCCCAAGTACTTTCAATCTCATCTGAGACCATCTTCAGGGAGTTAAATCGTCTGTGAACGCGTATATGTATTTCTGTAATTTCAAAACATTCCAACTGTTCGTTTTTACTGCATTATGCAGTGTTCCAGATTTCAAATTTCACACGTTTTTTTTCCGCAGTATAAGGGAGGTAACTTTTTCATTTTTATTTTATTATTATTCTTGTATGTGATAAATCTTTTCTGCTACAGACATTTAAGAACTTTGTTGCTATTGTCATAGTTGACTTTATTTTGGGCTTTAATACCCTTATATATAATAAAATTTGTCATTTAGATGATTGAGGTTATATTCAGTACCTTGACTAAGATTTTTGTAGCATTTGTTCAGTCCATTTTCTTACAGAGGTTTCAGCAATTAACTGCTGTTTTTCATCATCTTTTGTTTATATATATATATATATATATATATATATATATATATATATATATATATATATATATATATATATATATATATATAAATGTAGGGTAAAGGTGGGAAATATAGAGGTAGATGCCCTGAAAGTTTAAAGACAACAGTGATAGCAAACAAAATGAAATTTTGTCAGTTGTTGTCTAAAGACGTTAGACATAAAATTTGGTGTCCCTACATCTTCAGTACTGTTTCTCAGTGTATAACTGTGACTTTTTTTTTTCTTTATATTTCCACCTCCCTAAACAAATATATAATTGCATCAATAAGAATGGTACCTTAGCCTGATGAAGTCCTTTTACAGGATGAAATGTGTTATCCAAGAATATGTATGTGTAAAAATATGTGTGTTGTAAGACTTTGCAAGCTAATGATTTCATTGACTATCAATATGACCTTGTGTCAAAATTGGATTGTTTTAGCTTCAGACTATTTTTCTTACGTCTGTCTTCTTAAACAGAAATGATAAACATTCTTTTGTTCATAACTCTTTTAATGCATTCAGAACTGTAGAATATTTGGGAAATTTCAAAATAATTCCACCAAAAATTAAAAACACCAAAATTCAATTAAGAAAAATAAAAATAAATTCCATTAAAAAAAATTT